TGGCCAACGGGGTTATGAGCTCCCTCCTGTGGGAAGGTCACCTACTACACGTCCCGATGGGACAGGGACAACCACCACCCGTCCTGGCAGTGTGACCTCCATGCCAGGCTGCATTTCAGCCCCGATGGAGCAAACTGAGCCGAGCCGTGATGGAGCAAACCGAGCCGTGCACGGGGCCAGGCTGCATTTCAGCCCCGATGGAGCAAACCGAGCCGAGCACGGGGCCAGGCTGCATTTCGGCCCCGATGGAGCAAACCGAGCCGAGCACGGGGCCAGGCTGCATTTCGGCCCTGATGGAGCAACCCAAGCCATGCACGGGGCCAGGCTGCCCCATGGCTCCCGGGGAAAGAACAAGGCGCAGGGGCTGTGGGGCTGCTGCAAGGGCAGGACACCTGGATCTCGTCCGATTCTCTGTGTGGTCTCAGAGAAGTCAATGACCCCAGGTTTGCTCACCTGGAAAGGGGGTGTAACAAGCACTCCCTGCTAGGAAGGGTGTGCCAGCTTTCATTAAGGGCTCAGGCACCGTCCCAAGATTGCCAGATAGGGTACGAAGCCAGATGAGATCACGCTCTGCATCAATCTTCCCAGGAGGCGTTTGCAGGGCCGGGTTCGTGGCAGCGTTTTTGGGAGAGGAGGGGTTGCTGGAGCCAACCTGTGCCGCCCACGTGTCGCTGCTGACACCGCCAGCGCAGCATAAGACATCTCTGCAATTAAGTGGGTTGTAAATGAGATGCAGACCATGGTCTGGAGCTAAATTTTACCCTGGCACAGTGAGGCAGGAGGCAGCAAGTCACTGCAGGCCCCTTGCAGCCAGGGCTGCCCGGCACACGGATGCTTTCAGTGGAAGCTGGATCAGCCCAGGGGCTGCTCTCACAGTTTATGGTCCTTGGGAGCTGGAGCTTTCGGGAGACCCCCAGCCCTGGGGGACTCACTTCAGGGCTATATTTGGGATGGCCGGGCAAGTGGGCATGGACAGCAGCACAATTTACCCCGCAACCTTTTGGGGTACAGCCTTGCCAGGTTGCTTAGCACAAACCCCAAAGAGATGGACATCCCCATGACATCTCTCCCATGAGCCAGAGTGCCTGCTGCTCGCGGCCATGCCCTCAATGAAGACGCAGCCAAAGGAGTGTTTTCTCATGGGCTGGAGCCATTCCGATGGCCAAGTGCTCTTGGTTTAAGGCTTTGTGTTGGCAGGTCACTCCCTCTGTATGAACGGTCTTGGAAGAGCATCGGTCTGCCATGGGAACAGTGCATGTCCAGGTGCGGGAAGGACCCCGGGACCAGGGATGCCAGGGGGTGGGCCAGGCATGATGGCAGTATGGAAGCCACCATGCCAGGCAGGAAGCGCTTGCGGAGGAGGATGGGAGGGCAACGCATGGCAATGGCACCTACAACCGCCGTACTCCTCCCTCCACCACTGCCGCCCCAATTAGCACATGTCCGCCTGGGGAATGAGGGGAATTAGGAGGAAAATTGCTCTGAATCACGCTGAGCCAGTCCCTTCCGCTGGCTGCTCCCTCCCAGCCTGCTGCCACCACGGTGCCATCCTGCGGCCACATGTCCCCATCCGCAGCAGCGTCAGGCTGGCGTTGCTGGGCTCTGGGCACCGGTTTGCCCATGACGGGGGTTCAGCTCCTGGCCACAGCCCTCACCGGCACCCCAGGACCAACCAGTTTTACCCCACTATGGCTCATCCCTATCGGCGTGTCTAGACTGATAATGAACGCGACGCACACGGTGCATCAAAGTCCCCAATTGCTACAGCACTGGGCATTGCGCAACCCTTCCCGTGTCAACCGCCGGGCTGCTGACCCTGCATGGAGGGGTCTGGGGGGGGGCTGCAGCAGGTCGAGGAGGTCAACAGGGGGTGGAAGGGGTCCCTGGTGGGCAGGGGGACCAGTTAGGATGGGGATGCTGGGGCTGGGCTGGGTCCCAGCTGGGAGGCACAGTGCAGCCCCAGCTGGATCACATCCCCTCGTTGCAGAGTCCTTCATAAAACCCAGCCCTGGAGGCTTCTGCTTCTTTTCTCCAGCCTGGGAGCTTTGGGAGGGGGTCAGCAGCATGAGGAGCTGGCAGGGCCCCCCCAAGCCTGTTTTGATGGGACAGGACAGGGTGGCAGCTAGGAGAGGTGTGGTCCTTAGGTAGGGCTCAGGCTGAGACCCTCGGCAGGCTGCGAATGTGAGCTGATGGCATCGGGACAAAGCTGCGGGGAGAGGCATGTGGGCTACAACCCCCCCAGGCAGAGAAAGGAGAGGAGGACTCAGCATTTATCTGCATCCAACATTTGCCTGCTCCTTTGAGCTGTACCCCGGAGGAACTGTGGTGCTTCTCCCTTCTCCTGCTCCCCACAGGACACAGGTAAGAGCAGACGTGGTAGCGTCGAGGAAGGAAGAAGTTCTTACTGGCGAAACTGCATGGTGGCTTGAGCAGGGGGGCTATGAGAGAGGAATTTGGGGTGTTTGCAAATGCGTACCTATCCTGATGCTCCTAGCTTAGCCCCAAAATTAAGGTTTTTCTGTTTCTGGCACGCAAATCAGAATAATCCTGCTTATTGCAAGGAGGACTGGTGGTGTAGAAATAGGGGATGTGGTGAACAGGGGGGCATGGGACAGGGCTCTGGCTGGGCCAGGGTGCAGCCCTGGGGAGCAGGGCAGGACTGTGGGGTTGCCCAGGCTGCTCGGGGGCTGGTGGCTGCTGCCCCAGCGGGCTCGGTGGCACATGCCACCAGGTGGCAGCAGGAACCTGTCGCAGGCTGCCTGGTCCTCGGCTTGCAAAGGTCCAATCCTGCCTTATAACCTGGGGGTGAAGGCAGGTGGGGCTGGGAGCTGCACAGCTCCTGCTTTGCACTGCTGCAGAACGGCTCTTGGGGCAGCAAGGCTGGGGGAACCCAGGTGGATCCCCATCCCCAAACAGTCAGCGTGGCCATGGACAGTGGAGAATCATAGAATCGTCCAGGTTGGAAAAGACCTTTAAGATCATCATGTCCAACTGTTAACCTAGCACTGCCATCCCACCACTAAACCCTGTCCCTAAGCACCTCATCTACCTGTCTTTTAAATACCTCCAGGGATGGGGACTTGACCACCTCCCTGGGCAGCCCATTCCAGAGCCTGACAACCTTTTCTTTGAAGAAATTTTTCCTAATCATTTAGGTTGGAAAAGCCCTTTAAGCTCATCAAGCCCTACTGTTCCCCTAACCCCACCATCCCACCACTAAATCCTGTCCCTCAGCACCGTGTCTGCCTGTCTCTGCCCATCAGCCTGACTGACCACCCCTCTGCAGCATGGGATACTGGGTTGGGGTGTATCCAGCACCTTCTACCTTGCGTTGTTTTGGCGTCTCCTCTGTTCGGGGGCTGTGAGCTCTGTTGGGGCGAAAGGATGTGTATGGATTTGGGGACAGCTCTGCTATTACAGGAGGACCCGGATTGCCTCTGCTTGCTCTCAGCCCTGTGTTGGTGTCCTGGTCCCGTTGTGCTCAGGGTGCGTGGTGGCTCATTCTTCACCACCTCTGGTGTGATGGTCCAACAGCCCCGGCGGGTGACACAACAGGAGTCCCACAAGTTTCAGGGGAGCGTAAAGTCCCTCCATGTTGGCAAATATCCTGTTGCATCAGCCCTGTGAACTTTGAGGCTGGTTCCTGCCTGGATCCTGGGGGAAAGTCCCAGGATCGTTTGTGGGTGCCCCCTGCACCCAGATTTGTGTTCTTGGCCCTTACACAGGGAGACCCCTCTGCTGCAGAGAAGAGAAGGGCTGATCACCCACCAGCAGGGTGCTGAGCTCCTGAAAAGATGATCTGCTTGGGAGACCTGAACCACCCTTGTCCCAAAAGCTGGGTGCCCCTTATGGGCCAGCCCTGGGGATGGCTCGGTGCTTGGGGGTGATGTGCTTCTGCCCTGGCAGGGTGGTGGCAATGAACCAGCTCCACTCTCCCCACTGGCTGTGGGGCTCTTACTTGCTCCAGAGACCCTCAAGTGCTGCAGGATGGGGTGTGTGACCCATGTTGGGGTGCAGAATTTGTTGTTGGGTATAGGATCTGCCTCCAGAGGAGACCCACCACCAAGTGAAGGCTCAGGCAGAGCTGAGTGGACTCTGGTCCCTGCAGCAGATTTTACCTTGTAAGAAGGTGTTTGACCCTTCAGATGTCAAAACTGACTCTGAAGGAAGCTGAAGCAACCTGGCCAGCAGTGATGAAGCAAACTTGTGGCAGTCTTGTGTTAACCAGGGAGCTTGCTTCAGTGCTGCTGGTTTGGGGAAGCTTGTAGCAGGTTCCTTCACAGAGCAGGGCCATTTCAGGGCTTTGACTCACCCTTAGGAAATCACAACTGGTCCTTTTTCCTCCCCTGTCAAAGGCATTTGCAAATCAGTAGCCAGGCTCTAGTGGGCACGGCTGGGAGGCTGCTCAGGCGTTTCCAGCCACCCACTCTGGAAAGCGGCTATTAGTAAGGGACACTCCCTTGGTGCAATCTCGGGATGCTCTGAGCAAGGACTTGGGCTTGTTCCTAGCTCTTGTCCACACAAAACCCAGCAGTCAGACCTAAAACTAAATACATCCAACCCCCAGTTCCCTTCCAGTCCCATGCCAGGGCCCTGCAGTGCAGAAGTGACCTAAAAAGGGTGCTCCTCTGGAAAAGGGCACTCATCCCTCTTTCTTCCTACCACCTTCCTACCACCTAGGCTCTTGCCTACCACCACAGCTCAGTCCTAGGAGATGTACAGAGTGTTTTCAGGCCAAAAAGGACTTTTGTTCTAGCTGGAAATGCAAAGACCTGTCAAATTGTACTGCCTTCCCTGACCTATGGTGCTCATTAGAACATGAGGAGCACCTGCTGCAATGAACCCTGCTCTCCCCAGGCATCCACCTCACCCCTGGGAACCTGCAGCCTGTCTCCAAGGTGGATTTGCCTGGTTTAAACCATTTGCCTGGTGTAAAGCCATGCTGGGAGAGAGCAAGGTACAGGACTTGCCTCGAGGAAAACACAGGCAGACACACAGAAGAGGTTTGACAGCCTCAGGGCAAATCTTTATTTGGCAGCAAAACCATCAGACTTGTAGGAAGGAAAGGAGGGAGGTGGGCAGAGGGATGGAGGGGAGAAAGCCAGGGGCTGTGGGCACTGCATGGGTGCCTTTGGCCAGGGACCACAGCCTGCCTCAGTGGTGGTGTTTGTGCTGGTGTTGCTGCTGCTGCTGCTGCTGGTCCTCGACATCGTGGAGGTGTTTGTGGGTGGCAACGGTCACACGGATGATCAGCAGCATTGCCTCGGAGAAGCTGATCTGCATGTTCTTGTTGATATCGAGGTCCTTCATGATTTCGTCAATGGTGGCCTTGTTTTCCACATGCTGCAAAGGAAGGCACAGGGTGAGGGCAAAGTCCTGTCATTGACAGCTCAAGCCTCCCCCCAGCCTTGCCAGGACCCTCATGGGTGCTGGGTCCCCAATAGCCCGGTGCTGTTGGTGGCTCCACTCTTGTGCCATCATCACCCATCGCTTTGAGTACAGCAATGATTCACCCATGGTGATGAAGCAACTGGAGAGCCACAGGCCAGCATCACAGGCTAGCAAGGCCACTGTGTGGTGTGGAGACCCATGAGGGCAGCAGTGTCATGCCAGCCCCAAACCTCTCCTTTAGTGTGTTGGATTAAGAACACTTTACCTTCTGCTTTAGCAACGCCAGTTACAAAAAACTGGGCTTTTGGGTTGACATTTCTGACATCGTTGTAGATGGCAGAGGAGCTCTCGGGTGATATGATCCTGATTTTTGCAGATAAGGTGATGAGGGTAAATACCTGGGAGCAGGTTCACCCAGACCTGGGTGGGTTTCCTTCATCTGTCTGTACGGAGCATGTTTGGGAAGTGGCAGTTGGATGGGGAGGGTCTGGGCTGAAGGTGTTGGGGTGGGAGAGTAGAGTGGGAAGGGAGGGAATCCAGTCCCTGGGGGTGTTCAGGCAATGGGGCCAGCCCAGCTCCCTCCCTATGTGGGTCATGAGCAATTCCACTCACCTGCAGGTAGTTTGCAAGCTGCTTCTCAATCAGGAGATGCAGCTCCTTCTTGGTCAGGGTATCTCTGTCCCCCTCCTGTCTTGAGTACTGGTGGAAGACATCGATGATGACATCCATGGCCTTCTCCAGCTCAGAGAGCGGTCCCTGGATTTGGGAGGTCTGGAAGAGAAACGATTACCTTGAATAATATCAGGAGCCACAATAGATGGGGAAGTCTGATGTAAACCGGTGGGGCTCCGGTACAGTCACCTGCTTCACACCAGAGAAGGTCGCAGCCTGGCTTTGTTCAGTCATTCTTTTGGGGGGGGTAAATTTGAGCTCTTTGGGTTTACGTTTGCTCTTACCTACAAGCCAAAGGAGGCTGAAGGGGGTTGCAGCCTTTGCCTGCTGCTCTGAGGTGTGCAACTATAGATAACAGCTGAGAGCTGATTTACGGTGCCAAACCCCCCCCCCCCAAAATGCGCCTTCTGTAAGTCAAGCACTGTTGGAGCAAGGCTTCCAAAATAGCTGGCAGTGCTGCAAAAACCTCTGTAGAGGTGCAGAGTGTGAGATCTGATGTCCAGGAGCCCATTTGGTGGTTGGATGGTGCTGTGGGGAGCCTCTGCCAGGAGGAGACCTCTCTCCTTGTGGGTTGTGCTTGGATGAGCCTGAGCGGAGATAGTGATGGTTATCCTCTGCCAACAAGTGATGGCAGCTCACATGGTGAGGAGAGATTCCCCAAGGGTCCTCACACCTCCAACTGGCACCTGGAAAAGAACATGGAGACCTTAAATGCCCAAGTCACCATTGTACTTGCCTTGCTCATCTTGATGAAGTAGTGAGATCCCCTTGGGCTGGAGCGGGACCCGTCCCAAGCACGGCGTCTCTTATAGCCTGGCCATCCGCCTGCGCCACTCCACCGGTTGTGAAATGTCTCTGTTTCATCCAGTTCCAGTCCATCTTCCTGACATACTTGTACATTGCTTAAGGCTCTGGGGTAGTTCCTTAAAAGGGGTCTCTGTGGCTTTTGCCGCAAGGTTGGTGTCGCATGCTCTGGCTGGGTGGCAGGAAGGTGGCCAGGACATGGCCACGTCCCCTTCACCCCTCCACCTGGCTGTTGGGGCTGCAATTCTCCATCAGCTCTTGACAGAAGTCCTCAGCTTCTTTGGTTTCACCTGGCTTAGTCCCCTCTGTAGGGGTGTCTTTGGGGACCCACAGCATCACACCTGCACTTCTCCAACAAGCCAGTGCTACTTGGCCCCGTAGCATCCCCATCCTTGCAGACCTGGTGCACACAAGCACAGCATCCACTCAAAACCATCCATGGTCCCATTGCTTGGCACAGCATGGTCAGGGTTGCCTGTGTGGCATGGGGGTAGAGCTGGTGCTGAGGGCAGCGCCCCAGCACTGGGGGACCATCCCCTGCCTGCAGCAAGCAGTGATTTATGAAGGACGAAGACAGGGTGGATTCCCAACCTGGTGGGGCCCCAAGAACTTAATTTCATCTCCTCAGGGGTAGGTACCCAACCTGCTGGGGCTCCAGGACCTTCATTTCACCTCCTCAGGGGTGGGTACCCAACCTGCTGGGGCTCCAGGACCTTCATTTCACCTCCTCAGGGGTGGGTACCCAACCTGCTGGGGCTCCAGGACCTTCATTTCATCTCCTGAGGTTAGCAACGGCCGGTGCCAAGGGTGGTTTCTCCCCACCCATGTTATGCTCTGTGATTAGGTGTGGCTGAAAGGTGTATTTTTACTTTTTAGGACTGTCCTCGCTTTGTGGCTTTTCTTCTGTTGTTGCAGAGACCCAGTGCAGGCGCTTTGGCTCCGAGCAGCTGGGATCAAGAGCAAAACGAGATTTTCCAGTGCTTCTGCATTAAAATGGGCTGCCTGCTGATTCAGCTGCCTCCTTTGGGGGTTTGTTTAACCTGCCAAACACGACACTGATCTCAGGCACAAAGTGGAGGCCAAAACGGGGCCATGGACAGGCCTGGGGCAAGCTCCAGGAGCTCCCCATGAGCTGACATGGGGCAGCACTGTGCAGGGAGCAGCTTGGGGATGCAGCCCCAGTCCACCCGCGGTGACCACCCAGACCCCTCACTGGTAGGGGTGTATGGCGTTGCACAACAGGGGCGCTTTGATGCATGGAGCTGCTGGCGAAGAGCCAGGGTGTTTCACAACGGGGTGTCAGGGACCATCCGCTCAGTTGCAGAATTTTGCAGCGATTTCAGGCAACTGTACTTCTTGGTCATTTTTCCTGGAGGTAGGGAAGGGCAAAGATGGGTTACAGGGTGTGGGATGGGCCAGGGATTTCCAAAGAGGGGGTGGTGCCCAGACCCTTGGATGTGCCCTCCAGGCAGCAGGGACGAGAACCCAGGTATTTGGTTTTTAAACACCAGCACAGTCACTGAGGTGACCAGGGAGCCTGGGTTTTGCCTCGGACCGCAGAAACGTGTCCTAGCACAACTTTTTGCCTGGTCTCCTTGCTGGGGGAGCTGCCCTGTCCAGCTGTGCCCATAAGCCATGCCGAAGTGGCTGCAGCAAGCTGCAATCCTGGCCCCGTGGCCACCAGGCTTGAGCAAGCATCTACTTGTTGGAGCTGCAGAGGGGAAGGAGTGGGTAGCAAGCATCAGGCAAGCGCCCAAGCAACCTGGTAGCCACAGCAAGTGAAAGATCTAGTTCGAGGTCAAAGATCTGGTTCAAGGTCACCAGGATTGGTTGTGCCCTGAGGACCTGAGCCCTGGTGGGGCACCCGATGCTTGACAACCAATTGCAAAATATTGCAACATCTTTCAAAATGCACACTTACAGGCAAGCGGCTGGCTGGTGCAGGAAGAGGGCATGGCAGGGTTTGTCACTATGTGGTTTGCCGTGTTTCACAGCAGGTTTTAGCCCAGGATCAGAAGAGGACACATGTTCTGGTTGCTAGACGTGGTTTTAACTTGAGGAAGCTGAGGGGCGCGCTCTGAGCCTTGGCTCCTGAGCACCTCTGAGCATCATCAGACCAGCAATGCTCCAGCTGCAACCTGGCATGAGCAGCCCCCAAGGGAGCTGGGGCAGCCTAGAGGTTTTCCCATCCTGGAGCTGAAGGGGAAAGAATTTCCCAGTCCTTTAGCTTGAGCCAAAAAGCACTCACGCATGTCTCCGCCATATCACACAGCTACAAACCCAGACAGGCTTTGCAGGCACAGCCTTGGTCCAGCCCAAAGGGAGCTGAGAGCCAGCTCTGCTGCCCGCCCAGGCATGGCACAACGGCTGCAGGGTGCTCCAGCCTCTCCAAGCCCTCCTGGAGTTCTGGCAGGTCACAGGGCTGGTCCTGGCCATTGCACTTGCCCTTCCTGCCTGTGCTGGTCCATGCAAAGCGTTGCTGTCCCTTGTGCTGGGCAAGCTGCTCGCTTGGTCCCATGAGGTGGTGGTATCCGAGCATTGGGTGAGGAAGAGCCTGGATTACGGTGGACTTAGAACCCAGAAATGGTTTGTCAGTGCTGCAAGACATATCCCAGGTGGCTCAGCCAAGGAAAGGATCCTTGTGTCCTGCTGGAGCCCATCAGGGTTTCGGTGAGAATGTTTTTACTGGTGGAAAACTCTGAGATGGAAACCATCCGGGTGTTTCATCTTGGCTGGGTAGCGAGTGATTCAGCAGGGCTGGGAGGGAGCACTCCAGGTGACTTGTCTGTGTGGGGAAATGCTGAAATTTGAGTTTTCATTGGGCTTTAGGGACAAAATGTAAAATCTCGGTTTCCCACAGGCTAGAGCCTACATATACAGACAGTAACTTCTGTGTATACTTATTTTCCAAAGAGCACCCTGGCTTGTTCTTGTGGTAAAGGCTGTGTTCTGTTGTGAACTGCTGTTGTCACGGCTATTAATGCATTTTTCCTGCTCACGGGTGATTCTGCGTCCAGGGGCTGCACTTGGCATGGCCAAGGGGAAAGGGCTTGGATGAGGATGGGCAAAACAGGAGGAGCTTCTCCAAGCTAGGCTGGCTCTGCTCTTCCCAGCCTAGGTGGAAAACTTCCTCTGCCAGGACAAAACCCCCTCTAATACAACTTCTATATGTTGTAGCTGATGGTTAAAACCCTTGCAGAGCTCAGGCAGTGTCTTGCACTGGTCTGCTGGTCACTGATACCCTCCCAGCCCATCAGTCCAGCCCTCCCAGCTTGGACCAGCTACAGAGCAATACAGCTCTTGCCCGTTCACATCTGGATCATAAACCTCTACCTTTATGGGGTTTTGGGGTGCCTCATTTTGGCAAGCCTTTACCCCATGGTTCCCGCAGGACCACGCATTTGCTGCAGCCCACCCTCCCCAACCACGAGATGGATGCAGAAGGGAGTGCTGCGACAGGAAAGACTCAGTGAACTTCAAGTGATGCTTTATTGTCTCACAAGCATGAGTGATCCAAGCAGAGCAAAAGCAGACAGCCCAATTCCTATCAGCAACCGGCTATGAGTTTTTCACGGGCTGCGCGTTGAGACTCAGTCCTCGTCTGGTCCGCAGCGCTTATGGCCGTGGCTGATGCGATGGGCATCATCAGTCAGCTTGGCCAAGACTATGCTGAACTCCTCAAAAGACAGTTCTCTGTCGCCATTTAGGTCTGTCTCTTCAAAGAGGTCTCGCAGGTAGTTGCTGTTGTTCCTGTTCTGAAATCGGGGGACAGGATGTGTTAGGATGTCCCCTCCCTGGACTGTGCACCCACTGGTAGAAACCGAGCCAGCTTTATTCTCACATGCCCTGGGAAGTGTTCAGAAGCTGCAGGATCATTGTGACCTTCTCCCACCTTGCAGTTACCCCCTTGTTAAAACCCCAGATGGACAGGCTCTTGTCCCAAGCCCCTTTGGCTGCTCCGTACCCCTGCAGTGGCAGGAGGGATGAGCACAGGTGGCCCCACAGTACGGGGACAAGCTGGGTCTGATGACAGAAACCCACTCTGTGGACCACAGCCATGGTGGGGACTGCACCCCATGCCCACAGGAGCATCCCTGGAAGCAACCTCAGCCTCATCCTCCCCACAACCCCAGAGGAGACCATCCCTCCAGGGAGCACAACACAGCTCCTGTGGCACTCACGCAAACTTGCAGGAACTCTTTTGCCTGCTCATTCATCAGCTTCTTGAAGTCCTTGAAGCTTAGGAGGTCCATCTTGCCCTCCTGGCTGCTGTATCTGTGATATTCATCCACAATGGTTTTCAGGGCATTCTCCAGGGTGCAGTTTCCAGGTAAATCCTGAGTGCATCTGGTCTGGGTGCTTGCAGACATGGCTGAGAGCTCTTCAGAAACTGTGTGGAGAAACCTCAAAGCCATGAGATGCATCAAAACTCAGGCAGCCCACACCATGCTCTTGGCCCCCACCCCAGGCATCCCAAGGTGTGTAGCAGCAGACCTGCACTGGGAGCCCAGTCTGGTTGGGGCTGAGCAAGCCAGCAGCACCCAGCGTGCCCCGGGGGTATCAGTGGCTCCTTGGCGCTGAGCGGGTAATAAGTGCTTTTAGGAATATTGTTGTTTTACAACATCGCCCAACCGCCTCTCGTTTTAGCTTCACCCAAGAAGCGGCTTGCTCTTACTGACCTGGAGGCATTTGTCAGGCAAATTAGGCAAACCTGTCCGGCTGTAGTCGCGTATCTGTGCTGTGCCATGCCAGCACAGATGACTTTAAGGTAGGGAGCACCGTTCAAGTACGGGCTCCATTGCAGTCTCTGCCTGACCTCCTCCTCCTCCTCTTTCCATGAGCCTCCCTCTCCTCTTTGGACTGCAAACCCTTTTCACCGCAGACACTGAGCACAGCAGCCCTGCTCTCTGATGGGTACCACCCCCCAAAGGGCTCTCGCCTTGCCAGCAGGAACAATTACACCCCCACTAAAGATGGCACAGAAATGCCATTAACTTGTCTTGTTGTAGCCAAAACCAGGCTCCTGCCCTGGCCCAAGTAGAAAGCATCACCCTGGAATAAAACAGGCACGGCACGAAGAGATGACCCAGACCGCTTCCCCCTCACCGTATTATACAGGAGCCATTGCAGCGTTACTTACCCTGGTCTCCAAGAAGGGTTTGCAGAGGATGGGTCTGTTGTGGTGATCCCAGAGCCCAGGTAGCCCTTTTATACACCTCCGAGGTCCTCTTTCATCAGAGATGCTGCCACACCTGCTGCAAGCAACAGCTTGAGTGAGCATTTCCCGTACCTGGAAATTGCAAGGTGGGAACATCTGAACCCCTCCCCACCTCATACCGCTGCGTGTAGTTCCTGGTTGCACCCACCAGCCTTTGGAAATGTTGTCTTTCTACCCCACCGTCACCTCTGACAGGGCTGAGCTGCTCATCTGTGGGGCAAAGAATGGGGAAAAGCACTGGATGTACCGTACCATCCCACCAGGAGCCAAAAGGGCAAGCCAGCCTTGGCAGAACTTGGCAAAACTTTGCAAGTTTTGCAACGTGCTGCAAATTCTGCGCGTTCTCATGCCGGCGTAGAAGGAAGATGGGCTGTTTGAGTGAGATGTGGGTAACTCTGTCCCTTGGTTGCTTTCAATGTGACCTCCCTGTTTTCTGCGATACCAACCGGTTGAACACTAGCAAAGACGGAGGCAGCAGCCGCCTCTTAATTGTGTTCCAGAGTATTTTCCATTGCTTTCTATTTCCACATCCCTTGTACCAGACCTTTCCTATTGCTCCAGAAGCTCGGTGGAGGAAACTCCTCATCACACAAGAAGAAAGTCTGAGGTCGGGGTCTTTACTAGCATTAACTAGCAAGGGTGGCGCAGAGGTGACAGTTGCAAAACACATCTTTGCGGTAGCAGAACAGGTATGAGAAGAATGAAGAGGCTATAAAAAGATGTAAAAATAAGACGATAGATTCCGGGAGGTGGGGAGGAACAGAAAAACAAAAGGGTAACCATTCCTGTCTGAGGATGCTTCTTGCACATCCCTGGGGCGGTATCAAGAACTGTTGCATGAGTTTTATTCTCGTATCCCTGACTCACTTTTATTGCTTTTTTTTGGTTGTTTTCCTGCTCTACTCATCAGGGACTGTTGGCAGTTTGGAGTTGCATCCTCATTGCCCAGCTGGCCTTGCAAAGCATCAGCCAAGGCTGGTTTTTGCCCTGTGCAATCGTGTAGTCCCCCTGCAGACAGACCCGTGGGCTCTGAATTCCCATTTTTCCCAGCTGCATTCCCCAAAACCAGCAGGGGAGATGGCTCACAATGCCCAGCCCCACAAAGGGAGCGATGCCCAAGTGATACCCAGGTGGCCTGGCAGGACAGTAAATAACATCCGCTTCTGGGGGACAAGGGCTGCTCCCCAATGGCAAAATTATGGAGCCAGAGAGTGATCACCTGTGTCATTGGGTGGAAATAACCACGCAATAGCCCCATGCTGACTTCCACGGCTTGGTTTCACATGGGACGGGCTTCTGATTTTAGCTGATGTTGGAAATGTCGGAGCCTCCTGAGCCTGAGGGTTTCCCACTCAGTGCACAGTCACTGGCAGGCACAGGAGCATTTTTCTGCTCATGTGTCTGCTCCCTAGGAGTCCGCGGTGGCTTGTAAATGTGCTGTGATGTGGGGGGCTGTTGCCCCATGCTAACAAAAGTATCCAACTTTATTGTTCAGAGTTAATACCAGCTCTCCGGAGCCCCTGGGCCTCGTTCTTTGCTGTGTCAGGGCTTGCAGGACAAGCGCTGGTTGCTTTGAGGGTTGCAGAAGCATCGCACGCACCCCCGGGGTGCTGCACCCCCAGCCTCAGAGCTGGCTCTTGGCAGCCACCTGGGAAAGCTGTACTTCACCCCGGCACATCCTGGAGCTGGTGCAAAGAGGGGCTGGGAGAACCAGGGCTGAGGATGCTCTTGCCCCTACCCAGGAAGCTCCCCGGTGCGATGGGGTGCTACGCATCCCACTGTCTGCTGAGGCGAAGGGTGCTAGGGCCAACCACCCCATGCAGGGAACCCACTGAGCCTGGGGAAGGGTGCTGGGGCCTGATGTGTTTCCAGATGGGGAGCCAACGCAGCCTGTGCTGCTCAGCTGGGACCCAGCAGCCCCGTTGCCTGGGCTCCCTGGTCTGCAGGGAATGGGGTCCCCCCGTGCCACCTTCCCTTTCCCAGTGCTTCTCCACTTCAATCTACATTTAACCACCCTCCCATCACAGGCTGGGTGCATAGTGCATCCTCCCTGGAGGCAACACGACACATACTGCAGACAAATTTGGTGCTTGAAGAAAGAAATTTTATTTCGGTGCCATAGGCAGAAGCAGATGACAAAGCTTTGGTCACAGGTTTGTCTGTGTCCGTAGGCAAATGGAAGGGATTGTGCTGCTGGAAGAGTACAGTCCCATGGGCGCAGTCACCCTGGGAACCCCTTCACTTGCCATGGTCGTGGCCATGGTCGTGGCCATGGTCATGGCCATGGTCATGACCAGCACCTTGATGCTCATCAAGGATTCCGATATGCTGATGGGACTTATTGTGGGCGTCAATGTATATAAGAATCAACGTAGTTAGGAACTCTGTGAACTTCAGGCGACCATCGCAGTTGCGGTCTGCTCTGATGAAGAGCTTGTTGATGTAGTCATCAAAGGTCATGTTAGGCTGTAGCAGGACAAACATGAAAAAGAGTCAGCCTGAAGCACAGTGGGGTTCAGGGCCACCCTGCCGCCCCACAGCAATGGCACACTGCTTTCCCAGCAAGGATTTCACGGTTTCAGGAAAATCCTAGAAAAGCCCTTCCTCCCCTTTGGGAGGCTCCCAGCCACCTGCATGCCCCAAGGAGGCCACCACTCCTGCAGTGTTAGGAGAGCTGGGCCACGCTCAGCTCTTACCGGTTTGGTGTCATAGAGGAAGGGCTGGGCAGTCTCCTTCAGCAGCAATGAGAACTCGCGCCTGCTCAGGTAGTCATCTATTGGCCACCTTACAGCATACTGGTGGTAGATACCAACGACGCACTCCAAGGCGAGCTCCAGGCATGATTTCATCTTGCTAGGAAGGGACAGGCAGCAAAACATTAAACCCCACCGGAGGAGGAGTGCCCTCTCCTCTGGGAGCCCCAGCCGGGCTCTGGCCGCCCAGTGGGGTTGGGCTCATCCCAGTGGCCCCTCCAGCAGCACAAAACCTGAAGCCACCATTTGGCAAGGACCTACTTACCTACAAGGAGTGCTGGGGCTGACTTCTGGAGATGGCGGTGCACGGGAGGAGAGGAGCGGGCAGAAGTAGTGAGGAGCGGTGGAGGTGAGGGATCTTTTATACCCTCCCTGAGCTACAATCCGTGACACCCTCCTGTTTCCTTCGGGGCAATAACCCCAGGAATTGTGCAAGGCTACGCAGCACGCCCAGGCGGCAGTTTCTCGCCCGGCTCCAGGAACTAGCTGCTCCCACTGTTAATGAGGGAGGGGACGCACCAAACTCGTTAAGGCAAAACAAGGAATCACTAAAAGAGACTTTGCAGCAAGCCAGCATCACGGGTCAGGGATGTCACAGGGGCTTTCTCAGGAGCCAGCACCTTCCTGCAGAGTTCGGGGTCTTTGCGGAGATGATGGAAGAGGGGTTTTTCCGGAACATGCAAAAGGGGTTGGGTGAGGGTCTCCAATGGGATGATGCTGGGTTTTCCCAATGGGTGATGTGGTTCGTCGCTCCTGTACCTGCCCTGACGCTGTTGAATTTGGCCAGAGGTGTGGTGTCTGCTGGTGGCCAACGCATCCCAACCCCCGTCACCTCTCCAAAGTCATGAGCAGCGTTCATCCTAAATCATTTCTTAAGAGCTAGCCAGGGAGCCAAGACCGATGTTACAAATCCGGGCATGCCAGCATGCCAGAAACCTGCCAGCCAGTCTTAGGAGGTGGCATTTCCCAGCAGCTGTAATTGCTGCCTGATGACAACCCAGAGCATGGGCAGTTGCTGACTATTTCCAGTGTTGGGGGGATGCTGCTGCATGCGGGAAGACCCCATGTTGTCCCCGTGCCTGGCACGGGCTGCTAAACCCTGTGTGTGTTGGGGGAGAATGGTCTGGGGGGCTGGTGAGGAGCCTGTGCCCCAAGATGCCCAAGTCCTTCACCCCAAGTCTGTGCTTGGTGGGACCGGCACAGCAAAAAGTCCGTAAAAGGCTTTTAGGGGATGGGAAGGTACAGTTGGGCTGGATGATCTTGTCTTTTCCAGCCAAATGTTTCTGTGAAGGACAGCGGTGATGAAACGTCTCCCCATCAGCCTCCCAATCCAGGAGCACAAGGAACTGGGCCAGGAAAAAAACCCTAAATTGCAAAAGAGTGAAACAAAGGGACAGGTTGTATGATGGAAGGAGCTGGGTGCGTCCTTCCCGGAAGGGCAGCCACGCAGGGCTGATCAGCGGGGCACGGGTGCAGCGTTGGTGAGACGTGATGGGGCATGCGTGGGGAGGTGTGAAGGGATGTGCCTGCGCCACGTGGGGCGGTGGGAGGAGACCCGCGTGCACCGTGGGGCAGGCGAGAAGGGGCAGGCGTGCACGGTGGGTCCTGGTGGAAGCCGCATGCCCACATGCCAGGAGCTCCTGGCACATGCCCCGCCTTGGGGCCCGTCTGCCCGGCCGGTGCGGCCCTGAGGGCAGGGTGGCGGTGGGGTGTGGATGGATGCTGGGATGCCTGTGAGCAGCATCACACCAGCTTCAAATATTCACAGATCAGGCATAAAAAGGGCCAAGGGCTTGTGGGGGGGTCCCTTTCACCTGCCTCTAGGGTGCAAGTGGGGTGCAGCCACGTTCTCAGGTGTTTCACTGAGCCGGGAGGGATGGATACTGGGGGTTTTTCCCTAATATTGATGCTCGGGTGAGCGCTGGATCCCAGAAGCTGGGGTTTGTGGAATAACCCCTGTGCTCTCCATTTGGGGGAGCAGGGGGATGAGCTTCAGCCTGTCTCCTGGCAAACCAGGCCTTGCAAAACCAGGGGTGCGGTGTCTGGGTAGGAGTCCTGGGCAGAAGGACGGGCAGAGCATCACCAGCACCCAACAGGATCCGTCCGAGCACTGGGTGCAGCCCTTCGCCAAGTCCCTCCCACTCACCCCCAGCCAGAGTAAAAAACCAGTGCCCTCCATGAGGTTTTAATGTATTTAAGGTTCAAGAACGACCAGAAACACAGCAACAAAACTTTACAATAGGAAATGACAAAAACAACTTCCTTACAAAAGGACCCCAAAAGGCCCCTGGGGCCCCTCACCCCGCCAGCTACCCCAGCTCTACGTTGTGCGTCACCGTAGATCACGGCCAGGGCCCCCGGGAAGGTGATGAATTCCTGGAAATTCACTTCCTCACCTTCGTTATGGTCCAGGTTATGGTCCTCGTTATGGTCCAGGTCCAGCCCACGCCACGACTGCGGGGCAGCGCGGGGATGGAGGGGAGCTCAGCGAGCAGCCGGAGCTGGGGCAGCCTTGGGGCAGGGAGCAGGCAGCACCTGGGGCATCGCTCCCTCCCCTCCATGGGGCATCGCTCCCTCTCCTCCATGGGGCATCGCTCCCTCTCCTCCATGGAGCATCGCTCCCTCTCCTCCATGG